AACCACAATTGTTATAGACCTCCCTTTTCTTCCTTTCATTTCTGAATCCCTTCATATGAAATGTTGAAAAAAAAAGCAAAACACTGTTTATCAAGTCACATCAAAAAACTTGCTTTGAAATAAAACACGTGTGACATAAATATTGTTATATTATACGTATTGATTATATTTTTAATCAACTGTAAATAACATCATGAAATTATTTTGACCGCTGATATTTTAGTATTGCCAAAGTTTAATGTGACGTTGGAACTTCCGCCATACGGAGTCAGCAATAGAAGTTTAACAAGTTTAAAAGTTATTTCCACGTATGTAGGTTTATCTTCAAAAATACAATCAAATAAAAAAGAAAACTATTCTAAAAGGTCATATTGAACAAACTTATTCATCAGTAAATAAAATCCATAAATAACACCATTTTTAAAAAATAATGCTTACTTCCTTTGTTGCATCCATGGCATATCTGCTTTATCTAAACATTATAAATAACAATTATATACTAGTATTTATATTTAGATATACATTTGGTAAACCAGTAAAAGGAATGGTTGACATTAGAATCCGTACGCCATATAACCATTTTCCTTCAGTGTATCAGCAGCTCAGGCGATGCCAAGGGCAAATTGATGAGATTTTTCATCGTGCCCCAGTAAGTTGTTTTATCCCTACTTTATTGTCATTATTTCAGCACTGAAAAAAACGTCTTTAGAATTAAATAATTGAAGTGACTCCACCCTCGTGTGACATCAGGGGCTTGCAAAATCTCCTCATGAATAAAATTCGTCAATGAAAGAAGTAAATACTTACTAGTATGTAGAAATCCTATTATATAGTTACAGTAAAAAAGAAATCTTTTGTAAAATAATGTTTTGTGTAATCCATCAGTATTTTTTGAAATTATAATAAAGGCAAATAAATCAAACATATTTCTTCATTCATACCTTTCCTCTATAATATCCATATCAAATATGAGTTCTCAAATATTAAGAAGTAATATACTTGTATGCAACAGTTAAAAGAAGCTTTATTGTTAGATACATTAATAAATTTAAAATGTTTTTGTTTTTTAAAGATAGATGGCCAGTATAAGTTTGATGTTGAGAATACAAAACTTAAGAGCCTCGTAGAGGATGAAGGCCTTAGAGAATTAGATTACAGTAGCCTTTTGTTTGACGTAAATGTAACTGACTCGATAACTGGTTTACGTCAAAGTGCATCTGGTACTGTTACATTCTATCCAACTGAAAACAAATTACAGTTTCTCGAGTCTGTTCCATCAACATTTAAACCTGGACTTAACTTCACATTACTGGTGAGAGACGAGAATGTTATATAAAGGGTTATTGTATTGTATAAAAGATGCCATGAAAAGTCATTTTTTCTAAAAAAAAAATAAATAAATAAATAAATAAATAAATAATAATAACTTTTACCTTATATTGATTCACTAAATTAGTTCCTCGTGTATCTTTTATTAAATTTTATATCTAATACAGGGTAAATTGACTCGTCAAGATGACGAAACAGTTTATCTTCCAACTACCTCGAGGGTAAAGCTGACTGTGACCCACACAATCCCTCTCTCCTCCGTGAGGTCCAACACTACCAAGACTTCAGAATCAGGCCTACCAAATGAAAATATAACGATAATTAATATGGACACAGCAGAACAGCAGGAAATAGAATTGGAATTGGAGAGCCTTATGAATGATGAGCTACAAAATTCTCTTATGATCGATACTAAAGATAGAACGATGAATCCAGCCTTTCTCGACCTTGACGCCAATGGATTTTTCAAACATGAAATAACAATTCCTGAAGGAACTGAATATATTTACATAAATGTAAGTTGTCATGGAGACTTCTGTCGTTTTCTTTATAAGTAGAACTTCCAATTAAAGAACCTAATCCTTGCTGTATGTTCTGTTGAATCTTACCCATTCATTACTATTTCAGGCAGAGTATAATGGTTTGTCCTCTTCCCTTTATCTCCAGCCCAGTAAATCACCAAGTAACTCCTTCATGCAAGTCAGACTTCTTCACACAGACAGGAAACCAAAGGTTTTTATTCTTACGTCGTCGCTCTGGATTTGTAATTATTTACATCAAATCAAAATTTAATTGGGGTTGATTTTTGTCTTTTCAAAAAGCTTAAAGACGTACGAACTTCTCGATGACATAAAAGCTACATGCATGTATTAATTCATTACTCATATATCACTTTAAGTCTAGTCAATTAATGTCTGGAGATATGTATAATCTTTTCATAGATTAATATGATGTATCATTTGAGTTTTTTTACTTTAATTCTAAAACAAGAATATCAACAGTCTCGTTTAAAGTCATCATTTCGTAAGTTCTATGGTCGATACAATTTTTCATACTATTCTTAGTCCATTATTTATACACTGAATTGACGACGGATTTTCCCATTATTTCCCGATCATGACAAAGAGTACACGGCGGTTGTGAACGGTCATCAGGGGATGTGTCATTCCTCCATAGCACCTGATCCCACCTCTGATGTTTTGGGGGTCCGCGTTTGCTCTGCTCTTATTTCGTATTGTTTTATGGCCTTTGAGATTAAATATTGATCGTTATCTCCATATCTTTCTATATAATGTCTCATTACATTATATTTCAACAAATACTACAATACCACATTAGGACGTGGAGATCAGTCCTCTTGATGAGACCGTAGAAGCCTATAAACTGAAGTTCCTTGTCGCAGGACGTGCTGTCATAAAAATATCCCTCTCTGATTGGAAATTATACAGGAGTAAATAAACATTGAAATTTTAGAAAATGGAAATGTGGTGCCAGGTGGATTCGAATCATCTAAAATAAAACATTAATGATAAAAAAAAACATCGAGGTGTAACATTTCGAGCTATGCTGAATTTTTTGCTATTCACAGCAACATTTCTCTCTCTGTCTCTCTCTCTCTCTCTCTCTCTCTCTCTGTATTGTATTTTTCATTGTCAGGTAGGATCGATCTTAGCATTTGAAATCAGGACCACTGAAATTACTTCCAACATATACTATCAAGTAAGAATTTACTTAGATAATTTGCAGATATATGTAGTTTTGCAAAGCTAAATCACGATAAGTGATGCTCTTTATATTAGATGAAACTGATTTTTTTAAATTGTTTATTATTTTAATTTTATAAAGAAACCTGTCCTCAAACGGGATTTTCTCGGTAATGAAACCCTTTAATAATCCCAATGAACTAAAATCAATATTTTCATACGATACAGATTATTTCAAAAGGCGGGATTATTGAATCAGGGGGCCTTGATATGCAATCTTCAAAACTGAAGAGATTTAACTTGACGATAATAAAAGAAATGACACCTAGGGCACGCCTTATCACCCATTACGTCAGGAAGGACGGCGAAATTGTAGCAGATGCTATCAGCTTTAATATTGACGGAAGCTTTGAAAACAACGTACGTCATTGTGTATTTATTGTCATTTTTAAAAAGAAAAATATAATTTACAGCTGCATTAAGGAACAGTACAAAACAGATAGGTCAAATATTTTGAAAAAAAAAATTATGATACAAAATCTTTCTTTGTATTTAATATGAAAGAAATTTACCGGCACAATTCTTGCCCAACTACCTTTAAAGGCAGAGATTTTTTACCGGATGATAAATTCCATTTGAGGGAGGGGCTTATTCTGTACAGGTGTGAATGCCTTGGGGGCTAGCAGTCTACCTGTTATCACCTGTCTCCTAGTCCCTATACATAGGAAGTGATTTAATACACAGTGAAATACCCAGGTGTCAAAAATGTTTGAAAACACCCCTACCCATTTAAAACAATTATGATGATATCATACTATAAATTCAAATATTACAACAAAGATTACTACAGATGTTAATGTATTTGTTAATTTAAAAAATATCCTCCAGTAACAACCAAGTAAGACTTATTTCATTCATCCCCAGGATCTATTAAATGAAAAGAGAGTCGTGTTAACTACATTGCATTAAAAAATATCTAGGTTTAACCTATTCTTTGCTAAAATTAAAAGAATCAGTAGATGGCGACACAATACTATAACTTTGACTACTAAATATGACCTTGACCTTTATTGTGTAGAAAGGATGAAGTCATAAATATGTCCATAATCACTTCTCAACTATAAATTGATACAAAGATACTTTGTATATAATAACAGAATGTCATATCGCTTAAAGATGGCAAGAATAGATTAAAAAAAATGTAGGCTCTCGAATGAATAATACATAGATTCTCTAATTTTTGGTAAAATATGGCCAAAAATGCGACAGAGGTTATAACTTTTGTCCTAAATATCATTGATTCATGACATTACAGTGATATAATTTTTTTTCCTGGTGTACGTGAAATTAGTTAAAACATATTCCACGGGTGTTTTGTACTACCTTAATTCATTAGCATTTAAATAATCTAGAATCAAAATGATTTCCATTTTCAAGCCATAAACTTTATCAAATAATTTTTCTAGATCTATATATTGTTTTACAGATAGAAATAGACTTTGACGTTCAGGAGACACGCCCCGGAAATGAAGTGGTGGTGTCCATCAAAGCGGACCCGGATTCCACGGTTCATTTGTTGGCGGTAGATAAGAGTGTACTGATTTTACGTAATGACAACGACATCAAAGAAAGCACGGTAATCTACAGAGAAAACCATAAAAAAATATATTTTGAAAGATAAATAAGTTGAATTCTCTCGCACAAAAACATTTTAAAAATTATCATATTTTTGTTTTTCTGAAAAACGGATATTACCTTGGCAAAGTCAATATTAATTAATATGTTTAACGGTTTGGGGCGAGCGCATTAGTACCATCAAAAACACATAAAAATTGATCAGTCACTTCATACATGAAGCCGCGCGAGACATCTCGACTAGCTGTGATGTCACACGACGTCACAGAGCTCGTCAGAGCTTACGGAGACAGCCGAGCGTTTGGTTGTAACTATAGACCTAGTGCAATTTTGGTCGAAAAACATTGAGTTATTTTTTGTTTTTTATTATACGCATACTTCCCTTTCTAAGGAAGAAATTCTTCAAAATCAAATGTCAGTTTTAAATATTTTTAAAATTTCACAGCGCCAAAAGGAATTTGAACTACCCTATATATATTGGATTCCGAAACTTCCTAAAAATCCTTACAAACAAAGATACATTGCAGGTTCCAGTAAATGTTCAACCAAGCCTCTTTCGTTAATTCTCACTAAGATTTTGAAAGTAGTGAAGGAAAAACTCCAGGAGTACTGTCCAACAATATATTCAAGAAGTGGTGTGAATCAGATGTGGATACTCAAAAATTCCAAAGAACTTTTGGACAATTTGAAATCACAAGATTTTACCGCAATCAACAGCTTAAAAACACGACTTTTCAACTTTATGTACAACCATTCCCAACGATAAATTAAAGTCCAGGCTTTTTGATATCAATGACAGCTGTTTTTTTAATAAAAATGGAACTGGTAAATTTACTTACCTGGTCATTGGTTATTTGCAAAATTATTTTGTTAAAACACATTCTGATTGCACACACAAGTACTCTGAAGTTGACATCAAACAGATGCTTAAGTTTCTGATTGACAATATCTATGTGGTTTTTGGAGACCAGGTATTCCAACAATCCGTTGGAATTCCCTTGGGTACCAACAATGGTAATTTCCATTCCTACGTCGATACGATATATCCTGGTGAGCTTGAGATAAAAGAAACCACAGAGTCTGTTTCATACCTGGATATTTTACTTGAAAAAGATGTTAATGGTAATCTAACAACAAAGCTGTATGATAAACGTGATGACTTTTACTTTTTCTATCGTCAACTCCCCTTACTTATGCAGCAATATACCTTTATCATCTGCATACAGAGTATATATATGTATCTCAGTTGATTCGATATACAAGAGCTTGCTCTACGTATAAACAATTTCTAAAACGAGGTAAATTGTTGACAAGCAAGTTGATGAAACAGGAATATCAGCCGTCTCGTTTAAAGGCATCCTTTTCGTAATTTTCCATGGTCGATACAATGACCTTGACAGCAAATACAACTTATCATTGAGTTAAATGCTGACTGATGTTTTTCACACTAATTGTTAATCTATTGTTTAAACACTGAATTGACGGCGGATTTTCCTGTTATTTCCTGATCATGACAAGGAGCACACGGCGGATGTGACCGGTCAGCAGGGGGATGCTTACTCCTCCATGGCACCTGAATCTCTCCTCTGATGTTTCGGAGGTCTGTGCTTGATCTGCTCTTATTTTGCATTGTTTTAGGGACTTTGAGATTGAATACTGTTCGTTATCTCCATATCCTTCTTTAAAGGTTTAGATACAAACTGAAAACCTTTTATGCATTACGTTATTATTTATTTATTAGAGCAAAGTACATCGGGTAGTAAAGGAATTCTGGGAATGCTTCACAGAGAAATTTGCCTGACATATGTACAGATTTTATTCCGAATTTTCTCTGTTCTTACACGTTAGTCTATTGAGCTCGTTTCGCAAGCGTCGTTTCGCTGCGCTCGCTATTTAGCATTATGGTTTACATAAAGAGTGTTATAAAAATATTTTTTATAGTAATATAAAGGATTGTCTTATTTAGAACTTTTTACGGTATTGTAGGTGCTTGAAGAATTGAAAAGTTACGACCAGTACTGCTCATATGGTTCCTGCTTCATTCGGGTACCCAGCCTCTTCGGAGTAGAAGATACTGATGAACTGTTCCAGGTATGACCCCAATATTCCTCTCGCTTATGTTTATTCGGTGTTATATATATATATATATATATATATATATATATATATATATATATATATATATATATATATATATATATATATATATATATAATACAATATATGTGTATATGTATATATATACATATACATAACACAATATATTCCACAAAAAAAATTTTTTTTACTCACGTACCGTTTGTTTTTAATATTTTTGAATTCGTGCACGAGTTATCTACGAAATCCGTTAGAATACAGAACAATCGTTCGTTGAATCTTTCGACTTCATACGACTAAAAACTTAAAAGTAGTCTTATCATTTTGGCAATTGTAATTTCCTTTCAAATGTGTCTTTTAAAGATAACCCAACATTTAAACTTCTAAAGAAAGAACACCAAAAATCAATTAAAACTGAACACCGGGTCTCCAATTTACAGACCTACTTAGAGTGTGACATTATACCGAAATGCTTTCAGATAAATGTTACACCTAACATAGGGCCAATCTCCAAACGCTTTCAGGAACGCTGGGACGTTATTACAAGTAGATGTTCTAAACAATTGATGTCACTCTGTCTTTCTTGGGATATCCACAAGTTAGGACAATTGAAGAGTGAGATCAAGTCCTTAGAATCATCCCTCAACGATATCATGTCCCAGGCCGATCTTGATGAAGCCCATAATATTATAGACACCTATAATATGGCCCTAACAAATAAAGTCAATAAGACTCAAAAAAAGAAATTTCTCCGCTAGGAACAACTGGCAGAGGTCAGAGTTAACGAAACACGCAAACCCCGCTCGAGACGCTTCAAACGCATTAAGACAATCGCGAGGGACGGACCCATACAAACTCCTGACGTCTGCCCAGTGCTCAATACATCTAGTGCTCCTCTCTCCGAATCGGAGACCTCACTTCTTTCCAAGGGGCTAAATTTCTGCCCCACGCCACATGAGGTCGACGAAAAACAAGTTAGAGAGGACACCCGAGCATTCTTCCGGAGACTTCGTTTGAAGGAGCACTTCTCTAGAAAAGACTCCGAAGTAAATTCATACGACTCTTCCAAGCCAGATTTAGACGATCTAGAAGAACACAAACTCTATAAGCCCAAGAGTGACTGGGAACCCGCACCGGGCAAGTGCGGCGCGCTTGAGTCGTATATTGACGCCGTTGAGTCAGACATAGAGAAGCTCCTTTCAGCGCCTGACAAGACTCCCGACAATTTGAGTAAGGAAGAGAGATCTGCCTTACAATCATTAAAAACTCGGGATGACATTGTAATCAAGAAAGCAGACAAAGGCTCTACAGTTGTAGTACTGGATAAAGAGACTTACATGGCGGAGGCCCAAAGACAACTCTCAGACGAACGTTTCTATAAGAAACTGGACTCTGACCCTACTAAAGAATTCTCCACAGCCATTACCAAAACTCTTGACGATATGTTTGAGAAAAATGAGACTGGTATCAACGTCTATGAGACCTTAAATCCTATTGACTGTAGACCAGGACAATTCTATCTGCTTCCTAAAATACACAAAGAAGGCATGCCAGGTCGCCCCATAGTCAGTGCAATTAGACACCCCACGGAGAAAAATTTCTGAATTCATTGATTTACATCTCCGTCCACACGTAGAGAATTTGCCATCCTATCTCAAGGACACCACGGACTACATTAACAAGACGCCCTCTACTGGCCTCCCAGATCATACCCTCCTCGTGACTATGGACGTCACATCTTTGTACACCAATATTCCGCACGATGAGGGTATCGAAGCCTGTAGAGAAGTCTGGGATAGTAGATCCATACATATTCCTTCTACCGAGTCCCTTGCTAAGCTCCTTGAACATCTTCTCAAGTTCAACAACTTTATGTTTAATGGAGAACATTACCTGCAGGTTAATGGCACTGCTATTGGTACGAAAATGGCACCGTCCTATGCCAATGTCTTCACAGACTGGAACGCAACTTGCTACTTCAAGCACCATTTAGGCCCCATAGCTGGTTGCGTTTCATTGACGATATAGAGATGAAGTGGGTGGAATGTCGCGAGAGCCTCGAAGCATTCATTACGTTTGCCAACACCTTTCATCAGTCGATCAAATTTACAGTAGACATATCTAATTCGAAAAACGTATTCCTAGATACTACATCTACCCTGATTGATGGTGAAATCGAATTCAGTCTCCACACCAAACCCACAGACTCCCACCTATATCTTATGCCCACTAGTTGTCATCCCCCACACACTTTTAAGGGATGCCTAAAGGTCTAGCCACCAGAATTCGACGCATCTGTTCGTCCCCTGCCTTATATCAGGAGCAAAGTGGTCTTCTTAAGTCCCACTTATGCAAAAGAGGCTACAATGCCCGCACCGTACAAACAGCTATTGATGAGATGGCTGAACATGACAGGCAAAACCTATTACGCTACAATGAAAAAGACAATAGCGACAGGGTCCCTCTGGTAACCACATACTATCCCGTCCTTAAGAACCTTAGCGGTATCCTTCAAAAGAACCTACCAATTCTCCATTCAAACGAATGGCAGAGGTCTTTAAAGAACCCCCATTGGCTGCATACAGACGCCAAAGGAACCTAAATGACATGGTAGTAAGAACAAGACTGGACAACCCATTACCTAACGGGGGCTTTAAAACTTGCTCTGAGAGAAGATGTCTTCTTTGTAAGCACAGCACTGACACAGACAGTTTTAACAGCCCTGTTACAGGCCGCAGCTACAAAATACTAGGGAATTTGTCCTGTCATACTGACAACTGCATTTATCTCATCAGTTGCAAAGTTTGCTCCAAACAGTATATTGGTGAAACAGGAGATCTCCGCAGGAGAGTCAATAACCACCGTTCGACCATTAGGACCAAAAAACTCAATGAACCCGTTGGGGAACATTTCAACCTTGAGGGTCACAAATGGGAGGACATGACAGTAGTGGTGATTGACCATAACCCAAGATGGACAGATGCTCAGAGAAAAAGCAAAGAAAAGTTCTGGATGCACAGATTGAAGTCATTCCGCCTTAATGGTATTAACAAACTGAATGACTTCACCAGAATGCTTAAACTAGACCCAATTCCTGATGATACTAAACAAGATTATTCTCTCAATTTAGTGTAAATTCTACAGTTAATTTGCGTCACCAACTCTCGAACAACCCATATAACTATTTATTGCTTACACATTTGTTAATTATTTTTTCCCGATAATAAGTCCTTAAAGCTGAACACTTCTCATAAATAGGCACTGTCAGGTATATAAACCATTCAATTTCGTTACACCCGATTGCACACTCGAAACTCGTGGCTGACATGCATTACTCCTTTCGAGGTCTTAGATTTTTTGCGTTTATTTCTTGTTTTTATGTGCATTTTCTGTTTGTAAATAATGTATTGACCTGTATTTTTCATGATACTTTTGTCCTGTTTTGGAAAAAATACGTAAAATTTGATAATTTCATCGAGATTGAGTAGCACGCAGTGTAAGGTGTACGTCTACACTCGTCGGATCTCTACAGTGAAATACATTAAGCTGACTAGCGGTCTGCTCCTTATATACGGGTTGTAGGGAGAGCGTTGAACAACGGGAAATATGGCGGACTATGCCTATTTACGAGTAGTGTTCAGCTTTAAATATTTCAAAATTTATAATTGATCATAATTCATATGTTTAAATATCCCTGCTATATTATTTTTCTTTGATTATTCTTTATTTAGTAAAGTTACGCCATTTTGAGAGAATGAAACAATGTACGATTTACTGATTGTCGTAATTAATTAGCATAATCAATTCGTTCAATTATGTAAATCGCACTTCACCCGAGTATACCCGATAGACCGGACGCATTTCATAGCGGTCCGGATTTCTTTCTTTATTAGTGTTCTTAAAAATTTCCAATTCAACATGTAATTAAGTATGTAAATATCTAGTGTTTAGTAGTTTAGTAGTAGTGCTAGTTGTTTTGTTTCTCTTTTTCCTTTGTCCTTATGACTTTTTAACTTTTTTCTTTGTCCTGAGGAAGGGACAGGGCGTCCCGAAAATTTGACAATTTTTATTGTTCGTCGTTGGTCATTTTTAGTGCTTTATATATATATATATATATATATATATATATATATGTGTGTGTGTGTGTGTGTGTGTGTGTGTGTGTGTGTGTGTGTGTGTGTGTGTGTGTGTGTGTGTGTGTGTGTGTGTGTGAGTGCGTGTGTGGCTCCCCCATACTGGGGACCTGCTACAGATACGCAAGTCGTAAAATGGGGACATAAAAAACATTGGGGACTTGATTTAAGTCCCCAATCTTTTTTTTCGTTGAAAACGAAAAATTGACATGTCTAAATCCTAAAAATATCAAAAAAATAACGTGTCCCAGTTACGGGGTTTTATCGGACACATGATTACACAGATATCGTGTTGATTGAAGTTGCCATCTTCACTTACACATCTCTGACGTTACACACTTCTAGATTACGCATGCGCGTGTGTAAAAAAAGCGGAAGTCCAATTGTTTTGAAGCGGGATACAATAAACATGTGGAAAAGAAGACACGGAGGAAAGCCTGGGCACAGAATCCTAGATTCTTTTGATAAGGATGATTTTTATGCTGGAAAACGGTATGTTATCTACTTCTTGGATAAAATATGGTGCGAGGAAACTTGCATCAAAGTATTAATTATTGAAGGGGGGAGGGGGCAGTAACGATTGCTGCATAGGCCTATCGGGTACTCAGTTGAAATGAAAAGACAGTTATTTATGTGATTTTCTTTCTTGAAATAGTACACAATTTATGCTATTCATTTCACAATGATTTAAAATTCATCAAATGTGAGGTATATTAATCGAATGTGTTTTGTATTTCATCAGCTGTTCATGTCAACATGAAATGATTTTTACTAAGTTTTAACTGAACTAAATCCAGTCCACTTTAATTGGGGAAAATGGAAATGTAGTTTGTATGTTTGAGTTTTTTTGAGCCAATAGTGAGATCGGATTGTACCCCCCCCCCCCTTTCTTCTTGAGATCTGCAACTTTTTGTTTTTAAAGCCAAACCTAAGATCGGGTTGTACCAAACACCTCAACAACCACCTCCTTCTTCTTGTCGAGCTCAGCAACCTATTTCTGGTGTTGTTTTCTTTTCATTTTTTAAAGCAAAAAGTGAGATCGGTTTTTACCCCCCCCCCCCCCCCCCACCTTTTACTTGAGAGAGAACATACAGTGTAGTCTATAGTTATCAATTCATCATATATTTCACTTGTCCTATAATATATAAGCATTACTTAATACAATAATAGCCTATCTCAATTTTACTCAAAATGCACTTATTATCTACTGCTAAAGAGCAAGTAATTGAATATCAAACATATATTGTTTACATGTTGTTTATATTAAAGAAACTTGGACTGAAGCATCTTTTAATTTAAAAAGCTACCACATTACTTATATGACAGTATAATTCATTAAGTGACAATTATATTTTCCACATTTTTTCTTAATTATTATCATTTTACAGCATACTTTTTAAAAAAAAAAAAAATCACATTTGATGTCTCTAAGGGCCTGTACATGTTATGGGCATTGGAATAAAAATGCTCAGAAAGAAAATATGGATAAAAATGTACGTCTTGAACAAATTTTATTAATGATTTTTTTTTAAATTATATAATTATTATCCTTAAACATGTTAAAAGATATAGAATTAAACTAGAATATAAAAATCTGCAAACTTGTGTGTTTATTAGATTTTTTTAATCAGGTCATTATATCCTAAAGCAGGACATTATACCCCTGTCGTTTTTATTATGTCCAATAAAAAGTTTATATATTTCATTGTGCATTTTGCTACGATTCTCAATGAAGATAACAATATTTTGAATTATTATTTCCGATAAAAATGATGTTGTGTATGCACCAAAATTGACAAAAAACTATTTATTATAATCAGTCAGGACATTGTACTATAAGGGCATTATACACTTCCGGTGTAAACAGCTTACTCAGGAACTGAGGAAGCAGGTAAGGCATGGTTTGGACTAAAAAAAAAAAAACCAACGTCCTTGTTTGATTCCTTGAAACGATTGTGTAATTATGTTCTGGAGACTTGAAGTCTGTACAAAGACACACTACATCAAAGTAGTTTTATGTCGACCGCTTTATACCTGTTAGACAGATCATGGATAAGCCTTTCCGAATTCCCTCGGTTTAATTCTCATTTCACTGTTAGTGTGTTTGTTTATATACAAACAGCTTTTAAATTGAATTTTTAAGAGTTAATTATAATTGTATATCATATGATATGATCTTTTTTAAAGCAGAGTGCATCATGTATTTAATTTTTGTATCCTTTCTATCAGAAAAGTCATAGGCTATAATAAGAATCATTTGACTTGTTTAATGTATTGTGGTATATTAAGTTTATTTATGTATTCTTAAATTATTTCATTTCGATCCCGATGTAAATTATCTTGCTTATATTTGGAAACACCCACTTTTATGCGACTATCAGATCGGGGATGAAGACGACTGGCTTTATTCTCTATAGCTACACTCTTCACATACTAGAATCATCTTTTTTTCCATCTGTTTATATTGCTTTTATAGTTCATATTTGGGTTAGACTATATTTTGGTTGGGGGTAAATTATGTACATCGTACGTACATTATAGCAGTTTTCTGTAAGACTTGTTATAAATTTGTAAAGTCGGAATGCCAATTAATATATTGACCTCATAGAACAACACCTACATGTAGTATCGCGAGTACCTCACAGATATAAATTCTTACTACCGCTCTTTGCAAGGGAGTAGGGAAGGCTCTAAATCTCACAATTTAGATTTCTGGGGTACGTATAACAATTTTTACACTAGTGACAATCAAATGATTCAAACAATTTTGATTGTATGATATCCAATATTTTAGAAATCACAAAATTTTATACAAATATTAACATTACATTTGGCGTTAGGACTGAAACGATACACCCCCTCCACGATACGATAAGTATTGCAATACTTGTGTCACAATTCAATTTTTTCAATACAATACATTTTAAAAAAGAAACAGATCATTAAGTTAAAGAAAACATGTATTCAGATTCCAAAAGATACATATAAGGTAACGATACAAAAAGAAAACACTTTTTGTGCTTCTGTCGATTAAAAAAGCGCATTGTCTGTGTCAATTCTAGCAGCAGCAACCTGCACAAAAACTTTTTCTGTCTTAATTTTCTCTCTCTTGAGTGTCAAATAAACTGACAAAATGAGGACAAAGACAGTCAATTGAAGGGTTAGCTAACCTGAATATAAAAAAATGTATTGAATTGAAAATTGAGGTAGTGAATTGAATATTGAATTGAGGAATTATATTGAACAATATCGATATTTCGATGAATTGTTCCAGCCCTATTTGGCTTGCAATCTTTTTAGCACTTTGGGGGGAAAGAAACTTCCGCTAAGTCAAGTACAGTATGCTAAATGTCTTGCACATATGTTAATAATTAAGAACTTTATGAAATGCACTAAATCAAATCTATACACTAACTTGCTCAAAAGTCAAATATTATATTTTTATTACACACTTAGTAATAAATACAGGTTTTTTGCATATGCAATATGGCTGACGTCACAATAGCCGTATCAGCCCTGCAGGGCTGATACGGTTATTGTGACGTCAATATCACACCCTTAATAAATTAAACCACAAAAACAGTACTTGTGATCATACACAATTTTTGGTGGGTTCATATTCTTGTAATTTTAACTTTTTGAAAATAAATTTAATCTTACAGTACCGACCGGACACAACCTAACAGAAAGCGAACCCGGAGCGGACCCCGGGTTCGTACTCTGGGTCCGCTCCGGGTCCGCTCGGGGTTAGCCCCAAAGCGAACCCGTAGCGGACCCCGAGCGAACCCGAAGCGGACCCAGAGAGCGAACCCCAAATTCAGTAGCGATCCCAGAGAGCGAACGCAGGTTCGGTATTTCTTTACAGAGCTGTCAATCAGGATTAGCGATTAACGAATCAGCGCATCAACCAATCAAAATAGCATATTGATCTGTCGATTAGGATATAAGATCGAACGTGTTGATTTAATTCAACATAAATCCGAACACTGTACATACAAGTAAAACGTGTGAATGTGCTGTGTTTATCTATTGTGATAATTAATATATTATTTAATTTTATTTATTTCAATTCTCCGGGTTGTATTTTATATTTATAAAATATTTAATTTCTTTTTTATTAAAGCAATTAATTAAATAAATTGGGTAAATACATCAGTCAATGCATAAAAATGGAAATCAATTGATATTACAATTTTTATTGACAAAAAGCGGAGAAAAGAAATATAGTTAATTGGTCTTCGACAACTATTGTAAAATTTCATCATCTCAAGTTGAATTGGAAATTTATATAAACACTGTTAAATAAAGAAAGAAATCTGAATCGCTATAAAGTACGTCTGGTTTATCGGGGTATCCTCAGGTGAAGTGCGATTTCAATAATTGAACGAATTAATTACGCTAAGTAATCACGACATTTAGTAAATCGTACATTGTTTCATTCTCTAAAAATGCGTAACTATACTTGACAAAGAATAATCAGAGAAATATAATATAGAAGGGATATTTAAACATATGAATTACGAATTGTGATCTATTATAAATTTTGAAATGTTTTAGGACTAATTATTGGGGAAAAAAATAATTAATAAAGGCGTTAGCAATGCATAGTTATGTGGGTTGTTCGAAAGATGGTAACACAAACTAACTGTAGAGTTACACTAAATTGAAAGAATAATCGTGTTAAGTATCATCAGGAATTGGGTCTAATTCACATTCATTCTGGTGAAGCCATTCAGTTTGTTAATACCATTAGGGCGGAATGACTTCAATCTGTGCATCCAGAAGGAAGATTTATATACGCATTTTCTGTCATGCCCAAGAAGATTAAGAAGATCAATAATTTTGATGTAAATTTTGAATAATTTAATGTAACACGTATATTGTGAAATCATAAATAAAATAATTAAATAATTAGAATTTTTTAAAGACAATGTGTGTGTGAAATAGGGGGCATATATTAATATATTCTTATCAGGTCGGGAGAACTTTTATTATTTGCCTTTTTCTTTATTCTGATAAAAATCATCCTCGCTCCAAAATTTTGACCGTGAAAATTGAAAAAGCTCTAATATACAGTGTAATTTTTTTTTTTTTTAGAAAATGTCCGGTAAATATTTATTACGAACTTTTAATGTGTAACTACTATAAATGAAATCTTAATATATCAGATGTACAAAAGGTTACATGTAATTTATAGATGCGATATCATAATTCACGTGTTTAGTAAACATTCAACAGCTGTTCAAACTACGATGTAGCAAAACATAAGGAATAACAAATGTATTTTTAAACTTTGTATATAAAGCATGAATTTAAAAGGTATTCAGTTTAAATTTCTTTCGTCAGTTTCACTTGTACACCATTCGATACACTGAAAATCAATTCAACACTCTTTTCTTCCTCTTCTTTTTTGTTTTCTCGTTATAACTTAAGAAAAATAAAAGCCTTATAACTCGCTGTTAAATTAGTCTGAATTTCTCGGGGTAGAAAAATCAAGGAAATCAATTATTCATGTACATGTAAATCTACGTCGAATAAACAGTTTAATTTTAGAAAATTTATCAATGTTCTCCATAATGTCACTGTTTACATGTACAATGTACATGTCCACATCGTCGCATAAACAACAATGATTGATCCACAATACCATTATTGTATTGGAATATACAAGGGGCGGGGCTTACTGGCGGTGAGATTAAAGCGGGGTCCGCTTCACGCATCAGTGCATAAAGCGGTCCCAGGAAGCGAACACCGGGTTCGCTCTAGCGGACCCAGAGCTGACCCCGAGCGAACGCGGAGCGCACCCAAAGCGCACCCGGAGCGGTCCCAAATTTTCTGAAAGCGAACCCGAAGCGGACCCCGAGCGAACCCGTGAAGCGAACCCGGGGTCCGCTCCGGGTTCGCTCTGGTGTTAGGTTGTGTCCGGTCGGTACTGTAATTTACAAAAACATGTAAAAGATTATTTTCAAATTACGGATCGAGTGCATTGAAATAGAAGTAGAAACAAACCAAAATCATATGAGGCAATAGACCATGTACATGTAGTATGTTAGTTAACTGAGGCCGAAGGCGATTCAAAAGTCAGCCAATTAATTCATTGTTATTAAATGTTATTGAATTTCCAAATGTTTGACACGTTTGTTCTTGTCTCCAACAAATGTATACACTCATGATTTAAAGCATAGTGTAATAACACATTATGATTTGCATGATTAGTGTTGGCAAATCGGATGATTTTTATTAAGTGGTTACTTGTTTCATCTTCCAATCGAGTACCCGGTTACTCAGATGATTTTTGGTAAAAGCATCAATATCTATTATTTATCTTTTTCTATTCTTATGGGTATAGTAATCTGCAAATATACTGTATATGGACATTATTTTTACAATACACACATACGATATCATCAAAGATTTACTGTTTTAAAATAAAGAAAATAAGGAAGTCGACACACCGAGAAGACAAATAAATATATCATTGTCAATCACCATTTTACACTTTCCTTTTCAGCCCCCCAAATATGTCGCAATCAAGGAGAATAATTATTTACATACTCCATAATTAATAGTCAGTATGTGGAGTTTCCAGTAAATCGCTGGTTTCCGAATATTTAAAGATTAGGTGATTTAACAGATTTTGAATCAGCTGTTCTTCTGGTAAACTTCAAGCTTATTATGTCTGCGACGGCATCTCGTTAAATTATCAAATGAGGTAATTATAGCTCAGGTCTTCAAAAGATATATACCCGAAGCAATCAAAGCTATCAATTATATAAACTGTTAAAACTAATCAAAACAGTTTGATCCACTACAACCATGCACTAGATCAAGTCTAATGATATCTAAAATTAGAGAAATGTGTAAGTTAGTATACCGGTACATTTATAAATTATTAAACATTTATTTCTATGCCTTTACTATGGAGAATTCATTTTATCCGAGTAACTGAATAGCAGTTTTACTAACCGATACTCACATCGTTCGACAGTTAACCAGGTACTGGTTGCCAACACTAATTATGATTGTAATTTATCAGCTTTATCAAATGTTTAAAAGTGGAAAAAATATTATTAAACAATAGATACTCAACTATTTACTAAGAAAGTAGTTTAGTGCATTGGTATCTAGCATGGTAACATTTACAATGACACATGTTTTAAAACGCCCAATTTGATTGGTCAAAAAATGTTAGCAAATATATGGTTGGTCAACGTGGTCAAGAGGGAAAACCCCAAAACCTCCTGGAACTTTAATTTGAAGTGAACTCACTCTGAGGTACACCCAAGAATGCCCAAGGAAAAGGTGTCTAGTCCAACCAGAGAGCCCCTTAATCCCTGATCATTTAATTTCTATGCTTATTGTATAGAAATGGGAACTCAATAGTATTACAAACTTTTACTTTGAGAATAATACAGTGGACCCTCATGTATCCGGACGCTTTGGTTCCCAGTCAATATGTCCGGATATGTGAAGCATCTGGATATCTGAATCACCACTTAAATAAGACAAAATAACATTTAAAAATTTCGTTCCGTTGAAAGATTGTCCGGATACTGAAGCATCCGGATATCTGGCGTCCGGATATCTGAGGGTCCACTGTATTGATAAATATCTGTATAAAAATGCTTTTACAACATGTATTAAAGATTTGTTCCTACTTAAAAAAAAAAAATTCCTATACATTCTGAATTAAATTTATGATTTTTTTTGTTAGAATGTTCAAGGCAACCAGAAGCTTGAGTCCATCCTGAACATAGAGACAACACAGATATTAGCAAAGCTGGATAATATTGCTAGAGGATTAGTTAATGCAACTCAGCAAGGACTAGTGATGGATATGTTCCAGGTTCCACAGCTAGGAGAATGTCAGGAAGAAAAGCCTCATCATTAAAAGTGTTACAGGTGAATTATTTAGGAATTTAAGAAATAAATAGGATAGATAAAGATATACTAGGGAATTAATATTTTGTTGGTTCATGATCACATCTATTGAGAAGCCAAAGGCCAAAGTATTGCATGCAGTAAATATTGTTTGGATGTAATCACACTTATATCATTGTATACAAATAACCTTTATCCGTATTGATAAATATTTTGAATTTATGTCAGATAATATAAATCTAAATTCATTCCTGTGTCAAATTATATTTTCGTTTCCAATGTCTTTGTTCAAGAGACAATTACAAATAGTCAAATGAATGCACTTTATTTCTCCATTAATATACTTGTTCATTGCTAAAAAAAAAAATCACGTGCAGGGCGGAACAAATATAGACACAAGAAGCAGAGCTTGTAGCACGTTTATTGGCGGAATCAATTCTATGTAATATAAAGAATAACTGTCATTTTCAATTTCATGACAATGATCAATCGATTGGCTTGCATAATAACTTTATGCATAAATGCCTTCTGCGTTTATGCAAATTATCACGCCAACCAATTGATTCTTTTCAAGAACCACAGGGCCAGGAAAGATGAAACTCATGTGAAATCATCCTCAGGTAGTGTCGATTCAAGTTTGTTTAAATCATGACCCTGGGGGTAGGGTGGGGCCAAAATGGCTGATCAAAGTTTTACAAAGGACTAGATAGGGATATCTTTTAAAATTGTCTTCTCAAGTACTTCAAAGCCATTATTAGTGATATTTATGTTGAAACATCCTCAGGTAGTGTAGAATTAAATTTGTTCAAACCATTATAACGCCTAATGGTAGGGTGGGGCCACAATGGTGAATCAAAGTTTACATAGAAAAATAAAGGGAGAAATCCCAAGAACAGAAAAGCTATGTTTAGTCATATTGACATGTAAGCATCCTCAGGTATTTAGGATTTAAATTTATTCAAATTATGGCCCTTTGGGGCAAGAAGGGAAACAATGGGGAATCAAATTCAAGTATTATGAAGTTATATATAGTAATAAAATGTTTTTAAAAATCTTTTTATCAAGAACAGTAAAGTCATATGCTGTGTTTATATGAAGGCATTGTAAAGTAGGATTAATTCAACCCCCCCCCCCCCCCCCCTTTTCAGTAAACTTTTCCTGATCTGATTTGTGCTTTTTCCTAGCTGATTTTCTCAGTTGAGCAATGTGGCCCCTGGACCTCTTGTTTGAAATTACTGGGATCAAGGCTGTTGATTATTGCTCAAAAGTTTATCATATACATACACATTTTATTCTGGTTGAAATGTTTGTAATTTTACAATTAAGTTCCAATTTTTTCAGGCACTAAAGGAAAATGATGGCATTGTTTTTGTGTGGGTGATGAGAATAAGAGTGAGGAGGAGATAGATGATAGTCAAGACAATCAGGATGTCCACACCGTCACTCCAGGTACTGTATACACACTGCATTACCCATTTTAAGCAACAAGTTTCTTAACTTGAAATTATATGCAGAAACCCAGCATGGCCAGCCAGTCTACATGCATGGAAAATTTTCTTAAGACTTGATATTGAGTATTACTAGTAGAGCTTTAGTCTAAAATGCAAACAGGTTGTTCTATTCAAGGATAGGCCAGAGTATAGTTCAGACACAAGTTATTTGCATTAATTGAACTATACCAATTTCAGAGTCATAACATTTCACAAATATGTCTTCTGAATTGAGATGGAGGAGTTAGCTGAGATTAAATTCCTAATCAACAAAATATTTTACTGGATGTGAATTTTTATAGCAAAGCTTTCAAGTACACAGACCATTCAAATAAAGAAAGTACCTATGTATCACAAATATACTAGTAAACAATCATTCTCCTGCCAGATTATATTTTAGTTGAAAAAAATTGCTTTAACTCTTAAAGCTATTCTTAGTGTTATTATTTTTTTTGTACAGACCGTACCACCAACCAAGGAAAATTATATTTTGAAAATATCATTTTAGGGAAGAAGAAGTCATTTCTGATCCTAGATCTACTGTGGAAGATTCTACATGCAAGTGACAAGAGATACAAAAAAATCCAAAGGACATCATGAGAAATGAATTTAATCAACAGACATTGTGGAAAAGATTTTCCAAAAAATAGTAATAGGACCTTAAGAAGTGTAAAACACCAAGGATATACATTTGTAATCTTGTTAAAAACAGAGAAAATCTTGATTAACATTCTACTTTCAATTGATATACTTTGAGAAATATGAAAAAAACTGTTTTAGAGCCACAGTAATGGAGGACATTGAATTCTTTGCAGCAGTTTTATCATTAGGCCATTCCATTTTTTTTCTGTGTTTAGTGACTGCAGATGGATTGGTTTTGAGATCATGCAAATTAAGAACAAACACAAAATAAAATTGACAAATACAAATCTTTGACAAGCAATTTACTCTTCTGGGATCAGCATCTCTCTTTTTTTAAAAGTGATGTGCCTAAGTTTTTTTTTTTTGTTTCATTAAACTAGTAGTAGTAGTTTAATTTAGTTATAATACGAGGAAAATTCTTAAATGATGCTAAAGGAGTTCTAGAACTTTGCGTAAAATGTTGTTTTTTCCCCTTTTGGTTTGTGATTTTTCTTTTGGAACGAAGAAATGTTTGAAATTAAGGTTGGATGGGAAACAAAGAAAAAAACTTGGAATGGCCTCATATAACCTACATGGACTAAACTTGCATAGATGAAGAGTGCTTAAGAAGCTGTGCATGATGTATGTAGGAAATGATTTTGAAGTATTAAATATTCTATGCAAAAGGAAATTTTCTCAATTTAGTTAATTTTTGCAAAAAAATGATTAAGCATCACATACATAACCTTTCTGAAAGTGAAAAAAATATTCATCCTAATTAAGTTTGATCAAGTCTTCAGTTCAAGTTATATGCAAAAATACATATTTCATTCTTTATAAACACTATGATATCCCTGTACTTTTCTTATGTGAATTGAATGTAAAGAGTTGGGTTTGATGCATAAATAGTCCTGTTCTTATACTAGTTCTTTGAAAATCACCCCCTGTCCCATTTCTAACATCAAAATAAAGTATGGAGATTTCTCATTTCCTTTAACAAAGATTTTTCATAGAGTCCTGAGATTGGAAGTTAAACAAGATTGCAAAGTTCTTGAAATATTAAAAATGCAAAAAAAGGAATTTTCAGGATATGAGAGAATTCAAATGGGACCTTGAGACTTGGTCAGTTAATTGGTATATATATTGAGGGCCATTTTATGGATAAAGTGAACCTAGCTCTTTTCACCATTTACACTGTCACCAAGTATCAAAATGATAGACTGATGCATTGGTTACCAAAACTGAGTACTTTTGATTTTTCACAATTCACAGGGCCAAAAAAGCTTTCAGTGAACCTTGCTCTTTATTACATTTATGTCTGTAAACTTTTACCATATGCAAACATCCTTTGTCTCTAGAAATGCCTTTATCTTCTGTAAGTCCCCAAACTTTTAACATGTGTATAAGGTCCTCAGTCTCTATAAATACCTGTATCATGTGTAAGTCCCTAAACTTTTAACATGTGTATAAGGTCCTCAGTCTCTATAAATACATGTATCATGTGTAAGTCCCCAAACTTTTAACATGTGTATGAGGTCCTCAGTCTCTATAAATACCTGTATCATGTGTAAGTCCCCAAACTTTTAACATGTGTATGAGGTCTTCAGTGTCTATAAATACCTGTATCATGTGTAAGTCCCCAATTTTTTAACATGTGAATGAGGTCCTTAGTCTCTATAAATAGCTGCGTAAGTACCTTTAACATGTGTAAGTACTGTATCTGTGTAAACCCCAAACTTTTAACATGTGTATCAGGTCCTCAGTCTCTATAAATACCTTTATAATGTGTAAGTCCCCAAACTTTTAACATGTGTATGAGGTCCTCAGTCTCTATAAATACCTGTATCATGTGTAAGTCCCCAAACTTTAAACATGTGTATGAGGTCCTCAGTCTCTATAAATACCTGTATAATGTGTAAGTCCCCAAACTTTTAACATGTGTATAAGGTCCTCAGTCTCTTTAAATACCTGTATCATGTGTAAACCCCAAACTTTTAACATGTGTATAAGGTCCTCAGTCTCTATAAATACCTGTATCATGTGTAAGTCCCCAAACTTTTAACATGTGTATGAGGTCTTCAGTCTCTATAAATACCTGTATCATGTGTAAGTCCCCAAACTTTTAACATGTGTATGAGGTCCTCAGTCTCTATAAATACCTGTATCATGTGTAAGTCCCCAAACTTTTAACATGTGTATAAGGTCCTCAGTCTCTATAAATACCTGTATCATGTGTAAGTCCCCAAACTTTTAACATGTGTATAAGGTCCTCAGTCTCTATAAATACCTGTATCATGTGTAAGTCCCCAAACTTTTAACATGTGTATAAGGTCCTCAGTCTCTATAAATACCTGTATCATGTGTAAGTCCCCAAACTTTTAACATGTGTATGAGGTCCTCAGTCTCTATAAATACCTGTATCATGTGTAAGTCCCCAATTTTTTAACATGTGTATGAGGTCCTCAGTCTCTATAATACCTGTATCATGTGTAAGTCCCCAAACTTTTAACATGTGTATGAGGTCCTCAGTCTCTATAAATACCTGTATCATGTGTAAGTCCCCAATTTTTTAACATGTGTATGAGGTCCTCAGTCTCTATAAATAGCTGTATCATGTGTAAGTCCCCAAACTTTTAACATGTGTATGAGGTCCTCAGTCTCTATAATACCTGTATCATGTGTAAGTCCCCAAACTTTTAACATGTGTATGAGGTCCTCAGTCTCTATAATACCTGTATCATGTGTAAGTCCCAAAACTTTTAACATGTGTATGAGGTCCTCAGTCTCTATAAATACCTGTCCCCAAACTTTTCATGTGTAAGTCTCCTCTATAAATAACTTTTAACATGTGTATGAGGTCCTCAGTATCTCAAACTTATAAATACCTGTATCATGTGTAAGTCCCCAAACTTTTAACATGTGTATGAGGTCCTCAGTCTCTATAAATACCTGTATCATGTGTAAGTCCCCAAACTTTTAACATGTGTATAAGGTCCTCAGTCTCTATAAATACCTTTATAATGTGTAAGTCCCCAAACTTTTAACATGTGTATGAGGTCCTCAGTCTCTATAAATACCTGTATCATGTGTAAGTCCCCAAACTTTTAACATGTGTATGAGGTCCTCAGTCTCTATAAATACCTGTGTCATGTGTAAGTCCCCAAACTTTTAACATGTGTATGAGGTCCTCAGTCTCTATAAATACCTGTGTCATGTGTAAGTCCCCCCAAACTTTTAACATGTGTATGAGGTCCTCAGTCTCTATAAATACCTGTATCATGTGTAAGTCCCCAAACTTTTAACATGTGTATGAGGTCCTCAGTCTCTATAAATACCTGTATCATGTGTAAGTCCCCAAACTTTTAACATGTGTATGAGGTCCTCAGTCTCTATAAATACCTGTATAATGTGTAAGTCCCCAAACTTTTAACATGTGTATGAGGTCCTCAGTCTCCATAATTACCTGTATCATGTGTAAACCCCAAACTTTTAACATGTGTATAAGGTCCTCAGTCTCTATAAATACCTGTATAATGTGTAAGTCCCCAAACTTTTAACATGTGTATGAGGTCCTCAGTCTCTATAAATACCTGTATCATGTGTAAGTCCCCAATTTTTTAACATGTGTATGAGGTCCTCAGTCTCTATAATACCTGTATCATGTGTAAGTCCCCAAACTTTTAACGTGTATGAGGTCATCAGTCTCTATAAATACCTGTATCATGTGTAAGTCCCCAAACTTTTAACATGTGTATAAGGTCCTCAGTCTCTATAAATACCTGTATCATGTGTAAGTCCCCAAACTTTTAACATGTGTATAAGGTCCTCAGTTTCTTTAAATGTTCTTATCTTATGTAAGTCCCCAAACATTAGGTATGTGTATAAGGTCTCAGTTTCTATAAATATATGTATAAAGTCTTCAGTTTCTTTTATTAGCTTTACCATGTATAAGTCCCTAAAACTTTTATCGTGTGTATGAGATCCTCAATTTCTTTTTATATCTTGATTTTGCGAAGTACCTTAAGTTTTACCCTGTGTGTAAGGTCCTCATTTTCTTAATTTTCAAACTGTGCAAGTCCAAACATTTTAACCTCAACTGTATGTACAGGGTCTTCTAAAAACTCTTTTCTTGTTTGTTGGTACATGTTGTTTAATGTCCCTGCAAATTTTGTCCTATATTTGGCAAGTACGGACATGTAGAAGTGAGGGATCTTTTTCGTGCAAACACCTGCTGCGACATGGGACCTCGGTTTAAACAGTCTCACCCGAAGGATCGGTATCCACATCCCACAGTTGTATTCGAACCTGTGACGTAAGGATCAATTAACCCCAATTAATTGCAAATCTAGAGCAGACGCTCTAACCACTGCGCCATGCGGGCGAGACACCTTTGTCTTGTGTAAGTCCTAGCTTAAATTATACCATAATGAATATAATCCTTTTAAATAATGAAAACATAATGTAATGCGACATTAGTTAATAAAAGTGTCCTTTTATAACATGCATACATGTATTTCTTATCAAATAAGTTCAAGAGCTCTTGTATTTTAAAGGCTGATACAGAGCAGTATCGGTAACAGCTACAGTAACTTTATTTCCGACGCTCAATAATAAACAGGCACACTCAATAATAAACAGGCACATATCATAGGGTTGGGGGGTTGGCCACCCCCTTTTTTTCCAGACATTTTTTTAACTATATAAATTGTTTATTGAAAGCCCCCCTCCACCACACACTTTTGGAATAGGATTATATATTTAGACAATTTTCTTTTCTTCTGTTTTTTTTATCAAGTTTTATCGGGGAAGTTGAATTTTAAAAAAATTATTTCTGGGGCTGAACTCCCCTTTTTTCAACATAGATCCCCCTTCCCTTTCTGCTTGTCAAGGAATATTGCCCCCTCCGTGAAAATATTTGTGCAGCCCCCATCCCCCCCCCCCCCCCCCCAAACGAACACACACTAAAATTGCTTCCTACCAGTCAGATTGTGGTTCTCATAATGGCTTAGCAAAGTAAAAAAAGGGAAATTTTAGCTCACCTTTACGATGAGAGCTTGTATATCGTCGGCGTCATACAGGTTAAAGATTAAGGGTCCATAATTTAATATTTTTTTCATTTTAATATTTATTTAATAATTATAGCAACGTTAACGAGAAATTTTAAAAGCTACATACATGTATTTGTTTACAGTTTTACTATTTCAGCACGATACTTTGAGAGAGGACTTGTAATACTTTGTGTATTATTTTAAAAGACATCATCGGGAATAATTGTCCTTTTTGTCCATGTGTCACTAAAATCACAAACACAAAAAAGGTCTGAAATGCTCTAAGTATTTTTTGTTTTTCGCTTAAACTCACAATATTTATCGTGAGATTTTGGGCTATAATATTCTAATTTTAAATTTTGCTCCAGATTGCAAAACGTAATAAATTACTTTTCTGTATAATCTATCTAAAAATGGATAAGGATACAATGTTTATAAGGATAAGGATATAAAGTTTATAAGGATAAGGTTTATAAGGATAAGGTTTATAATTAAAGAGTTATGTTATATGAATAAAATATATATTGTATTATGTAGGTCGTGGCCACAATCGCCAAATCAAAAATAAATGATTTTAAGAAGTTATATTTGTCTTCATCGTCTTTAATAATTAATTACTTTTCTGTATAATCTATCTGAAAATGTGCAAATTTGAGCAGGCGATTTTAATTCAGAATAAAACTTGGATTGAGGATAGCAGTAGGTTATTGCTTTAATGCTAGAACGATCTTGTACCGCCTAGTGTGCATATTACCAAAAATAATATTGCTTATATTTTTGGTGAAGTGAATAGGTTAATTAATATACGAGAAATAATTATCAAAATCTTTTGGTTATTTTAAAGTTAAATCCATATTCAAAATGAATACGTCATCGAACAGGTTCGATGATTTGGTACATAATGGAAACCATTTTTACATTCTCTCTTTAATTTTGTTTAAAACGTACGATTTTTAGCCGGGCTTATTGCTTAAAGAGCAATTGCCGGCTTATGTGATCCTGTTCAAGGCAGGATGTTGACCCCGTAGTCGTCATTTTAAAGTTACGTGCAAAGATATAGTTCTTAATCTCAACCGCTTTTGAGATAATACAAACGCTAAAAAAAGCAACAAAAATAAAACGAAGTTTTATCTATAATATAAAATAAACATTAGTAGTAATGACTTTGAAAACTTCAGAAGTCAAAGAACATGTTCATTAGCGTGAGGATTTTTGATAATAAATGTTACCGTAGTTCTCTACACATACGAGGTAAAGCAGGAGAGGGAACCAGAGAGGGAACCAGACTGGCCTGATTGATTACAATCATTCAGCCGCGGTACCAGATTAATTCTGATTCTGACAAAATCGGACCCTGGTATTAGGATTGAAAACTCACTGTCAGTGTCTTGTCATTTATACTGATGGTTTAAAATATTTTTTTTCATCAGAATATAAACGTGATTCATGTAAGAAATTCATTCTACTCTGTAAATGAGCCCGGCTTTCTGTACTTCTGAGTGCTTTGATTAAGTTTCACTGTCGAAATTTCAAAGAATGATCAGAATATTTCTTTTTTTAAATCAAATTTATTTATCAAGCAATCATGAATAGTTTTCAGTGTCAAACACGGATAATTTTAAGTTATTTAAGTCATTTTTGGTGCCAAAATAAAGTAAATACTGATTCTCAAGAGTTTCTCCAGGAACCTCGACCGATATATCCTAGCTCGCCACTTTTGCTCTCCACTCAAACGCGAATTCCGGTTGGACTGATGTACAACTATAATCGAGAAAATAACTATTAATCATTACTACGTGTACAATATGAATAAATCGTCAAAACCCCAAAATAATCGCTCCACCAAAAAAAAAAAACCTATATATTATAAGAGAGATGTATACTGGAGTATTTCTTTTTGTGGAGCGATAATTTTGGGGTTTTGGAAATTTATTTACATACTGTATATTATACACGTCCATGTACATGTCTAATAAGCTCCGGGGTTTAATATCGGGGGGGGGGGGGGGGGTTAGGGGGGTTTCTGTCCACAAATTCCTGTGCTTCTGCCTTCTACCGGTAAACGACAGCTATATTTATGATATTTTAAAAGTTACTTTAGAGTTCATATTGACACACTGTTTGTTCCAAACATTTGATATATCCTAGCATACAGTATAGGGGGAGGGAAACTGGTCCCCCATTTTTTCTTTCAAAACATACATCTAACTTTTACTGTAAAAATGATCCTTGAAAGGTTTATTGTTCCACCTCTGTACCGGCAAAGTTCTAAGCTAGGCTATTACTGAGTATTTTGAAAAAAATCTGCTGTAAACCTACCTCTCACGTCCCAAAGGAATGGATTAAAAAATGAATAATAGATTTTCAACAAAACATGGGGTGATGTTGAGAAGTAGAACCATGCCTTTTTCACTGGCTTGATCTTCAATTTCGACGTGCACTACTCAGATTATTACACTGACCGTATCGTTCAAGGACTTACCGCATGCTTTTCATAGGCGAATACAATATTTGTGATAAGGGGGGTGGGATGGATAACTTCGTTCAGGCAGTGGGTCTTAGGAACGAAGTCCGCGGAAGCTCCTGGCTTTTTGTGTAAAACCAGGTACAAAAAAGGGGAATGGGTTACTTATGTACACTATGATATTTCACTTGAAAAAAAAAAACGAACAAACAAGACCAGATTTGAAAAATAGCATTTGTACATCCACAAGATTTCACAAAAACAGTTATAAAATTACCATTTATTAATTGACCATTAATTATAAAAAAAAAAACCAACGTATTGCACTATTAATATTAGTCATATGTCACTTTGATACTTTGAATTTTTTTTTTTTTTGGGGGGGGGGGGGTGGGGGGGGGGGTTACGACCTCCACAACCCTTTTAATCCGCCATTACTTTTATAAATCGTAATATTATTATAAATATTATCTACAACCTTGTCTATTAAAATACTGAATACAATAAATTTATGCTACAGATACGAGTACCACTTTTGGATAAACATTACGCTGAATTATATTTTTTTGAAAAATGCGCAGATTCACAAATATCTGTAGTTTACGACTAAACAATTTATCCATGCTAAACGAGGGAGATTTGAATGCCCTTTGATGTCTTTATTTAATAAAATCAATGAAATTAAAATCAA